AGAGTTAACTAGAATCCAAGCCGTAGTCATAACAAGATAGAGTAATAATATAAAGAGATAATTCAACAATCTTCCCTTTTAAGTTGTGTTAAAGAATCTCTAATCTATATTAATACTCCGCAAAAAGTTCTAGATGGAAACCTAACACAAGACACCTCTTTAAATGAGAATTAACTAAAACCAAGCCGAAACCATAACATGATAGAGTAATAATATACAGAGATAACTCAACAATCTTCCCCTCGCTTATATCCGTGCGTAAGAAATTTCCATTGTAAGTACGGACACCTTGAGAACTTTCTCCCTCTTTCAATGAACTGGATTCATTAAAATACACATACCTACTAACAAGAGCCTGTGCTTGTGACTTACTGCGTTCGCGACTATCCATTATCGCCGCCCGTGATTAACTATCATCCACGATTGACTGCGCCCGTGACTATCTGTTACCGTCGCCCGCAACTAATTGTCACTCGTGACTATTCCTAACCATCGTCCATGACTGACTGCGCTCGCGACTATCCATTATTTTCATGTGTCATCCAATGTCTTGTCATAAAGACTCTATGTACCGCGAACCCCGAGGTATTTATCTCCAGTTCAGGCGAACATAAATATAAATATAGAAATAGCTAGGATCCAAGGTTACTCCTTGACTGGAGTTAACCTCAACATCATCAAGTAATTTTTTCATTAGATACCCTAACTGAAAAGTTTAACTAGTTTGAATAGGATTTCTAACTACATTGATTTACCCAAAACTAACCATAATGCGCTCAATTTATGAGTTAAATTCTAGCATTTTGTTGTTATTTAGAACATTTCATGTAGATTTCACATAAAATATTACTTCCACTACATCAAATAAACTCATAAGTTCATATATATATATATATATATATATATATATGAATGTCATATGACATTGACATTTTTTTCATATTTAACTCCACCAATTATAATTTAACCTGCTAAAAACTTGAAATGTAATAAAAAAACTTATATATTTTCAAAATAATTGCATTAAAGTTTTCAAACAAACATTAAAGATAATAATTTGATACAACAATAGCTCAAATCATTTTAAATCTTGATAAATACCTTGATTAATAATCATTTGATTTTATCAAAGACATTCATATTGAGTACAATAGTTTTGTTCATTTTGACATCCATTGATTTTTTTTCCCAAAATGTATATATCAATTTTATTAAATTTCCATATAATCAGTTTTAAATTATTTTTGTAAATTTTGTCTTGGATTTTGGATCTTTTCTAAAAAAAATTATTTCATTCATTTATAAAATTTTAATATAAGTATTTTTCAAACTTTTTAAACAAAAAAATAATTTTCATACATATTCATCACTCTACACATATTTATAAAGAGTCAGTATATTTCCAAAATATTAGATTTTATAGATGGAATATTATTTCACTCCAAAAATCTCTACAAACTTGTTTGAGACAAAGATTTTATTTTTTTTATGTATATCATCCAAAATTTTACTTTTTTGATTAATTATGTTTATTAATTACTTTTTAACAGTTTTAAATCTTGTTATGTATCAAATAATTTGATAACTCTTTTTTTTAAATTCAATTTTTCATTTTTTTGTGACAATATATAACTAAAATTTTGGTATTGAAATTTTTGTTTGTTTTTTAGTGTTCAAGTTTTTGCTCAAACTAACGCACATCAAGCAAAAGTTATAATTTTTTTATGAAATTTTTTTTTTAATTTTTAGTGAAAGAGTTTTAATATAAGATTGTTATTATTATTATTTTTCATAGACGATATAATCATGCTCATTTCATTTTACAATTTATCTTTGAATTAATTCAAATTAATAGTTTATGATTGAATTTGGTCACAAATAATATAAATTAACTTATATTTTTACTTATTTTACAATTTTTTCTATACATCATAAGGATTATTACAAATATTATTAAACACAATCTACAAAAAAGTTTTTGATTTTATGAACCCATTAAATTTCATGATTTCGTCTCAATGAATTCATTTAATCCCATAAAATCTTCAAATCAAACTTTTAAAACATTCATTTCATAGTCAACATATTTTTTTTGTTATTTTCTTGCTTGAAAGATGCATAAATAATGTTAAAACAAAGCCTATATTATCCATAAGTAAAATATCTATAGCAATAAAATCACATATCAAAGAAATGGTAACATACTTTTTAATGAATAAGAGGGTTCATAACATTCCATTTCTTAATATTGTGAACAAATATTAAAAATTAATCTCAATATGGATATATTCTATACTCTTTTGTGATCTGATTGTTGACAACCAAAGTTCTTATCATTTGAAAAGTTCATTATGTCACTCTATCAACCAAAAATTGAATCTTACTTTCCATAACAACATTTCAGTTAAGCTTTTTGACATAGATTTGAGTTTTTATATGTGCAAGGATATTTTTGCTCCGAATTCAATGCATAATGATCATGAAAATTATTTTGGATATCATAATAATCAATGAATCAAAAACTACTTGATATCGTTGGAGAGCTCTAACAATCTGGTCTGATGCTTTCCAAGTAGACACTACTTACAAAATCTAGTATTTGACGGTTTGTCTTAGTGACGTCCAATTTTCTTGATCATAACAATCAATCTTTTCCTCAATGACATTCGTGTGTGATAGTTTTTTCTTAATAATACCAACTTCAGATGTCTCCTTCAATTTAGTGGTCTATATTTATTGAATGAAAACATAGTTTATGATTTTCTTACATACTACATATTTTAGATATTATAACACATGATGCATGTTTTCAAGTAGATACTATTATTTAAAGAAACCTGTGAATTTATTCTATCATACATATTGAATATTTAACAAAAAAAATTCATGTTTTCATGGATTGCTGAAGTAAATCACATTAACTGCATATAAGGGAGTGGATTGTGTTTATTTGTCTATTTACTTGTCTATGTTATATGAATCTGCTTACACTAGCTGAGAGAAGACTAAGAGAGGAGGACGATGAGTAGCAAACTGAAAATGCAAGAAAATGAAATGGTTGTTTTTTACTAAAAAAATTTTGCTCTGTTTCAACAAACGCACTTCCTTGAAGTTTGTCAATCAACACTAGTGTTCAAACGATGCTAATTAAGTGTAGAATCTCACTTAATTAGCAAATATTAGTGTACCTTGAGATGATGGGCTAATAATATGCACTTTCTACAGAGACTTCTCCCCATCGTTTATTGAATATACAATCTACGCCATATTCTAAAGCTCAGTCTCACCAAGTGTATTCCTCTTTAGTCAAACCTATGTTTAGCTCCGTCATACTGTCATATAAGAGCAGTTTTAGAATCTAAAATCTTTCATAAGTGTGAACCACACTCTTCAATAGTATTTTGAGTTTGAAGACTGACTGGTTGTTGAAAATTGAACACAATATGATGTACTTAAAAGTATCAAAGAGGGTTGTAAATAACTTACCTGTTGACATTAGGTATAAATGAGCACAGTTGTAAGGTAAAATACACATCGAATGTTTAATGTGCACGGAAGTATGTTTGAATATTCAGCCCGTCAGCCAAATATTCGCTTTCAGTCATTGGAATGAACGATAATCGGTGCAATTGTGTCTTACTTGCCTGTTGCTGAGCTAAAATATTTACTCTCAAAATCAGCTTTTGTATGATAAGTTTCCTCGCAATCAGCCTTATCATCTGAACTTTCTCATATGGCTTCAAAAGTGTGTTCATCTTATATTTCGAGGGTCCCGTGAACTCGAGGGACAGCCTGACGTCAGCCATCACTTGCAATTTGTCGAATTTGTGTACCCAGCAACTAATTGCATTGGCAATCAATGGCATGTACAGGATATTGCATCACTTATGCGTTCAATAAACGAAAAACCAAAAACTTGCAAACTTTTTACTCTATCAAACCTTGATTAGTTTTAACCATAATCTTCACCTTTAGGACCCAATGAGTGTTGATCTCGCTGAGTAAGGTTTAATGGTAAAAGACTTTCCTAGTCCGCATATACTTGAACGTCGTTATGCTTTTAACTATGAAGGATAGGTAAACTTATTCCTAGTTTGTATCTGAAGTAAGGTATTTGAATTTCTTTCTAGAGATGTTTGTGTTCATCTCTTCAGAAGAATACTTGGTCTGAAGAAAACCAGAGGTGGATTAATCCTTCCTGCATCAGGTTGTCAATCGTTTCGTGTTCATGTGTTAAGAGCAGAATGAGAATTTTCCACCTTTAGTGCATAGCTAGGTAAACGATATTCATCCTTATTGTAAACACCTCCCAGCATCTACGATGTCCTTGTGTCAGTATAGACATTTGCGGGGAACCATAGAGCAACTTCCACCATTGTGAACGTAGTATAGTTAGGAAGTGAGCTTGCGGAAAATGTTGCGTTCTACTTGAGATCCTTACTAGGGACTTGTGCGCAGATCTTAGTCCCCAAATTATGCATAATCTGTGCATCTTGTGTTCTCCATAGCACATAATTTCGATATTCTCTGTTAAAATAATTCAGATTTCGGCTTTTTGAACCAATGTTGCATGAAATTTCCGTTCAATAATAAATGCAGTCCATCTTTACGATCAAGACGTGAGCCACGGTTCTGCATCACATAGCCCACTATATAGAGCGAAAGACTTGCTGAAATGAGTTGAACGAGACTTTAGGAACTAGCTAGAAAGCTTTGAATCCGCATCACAGGTTCACTGTACATATCAGTGCTTGCCTGTAGTTTCGAATGGCTACTTTTTCGGAAATTTACCTGTCTCCATCCAGCTGTCTCCGTTCTTCTCCCTAGGGTTGAGACATAGTATCTTCACATTTTATACCGTAAACTGACTTATCAATAGCGTAAGTTCATTCAATCTGCCTTGCAGCGAGTTAGTTCTGAATGACTAAACTAATTTATCTTTGAGTACAAATTAAAAACGTATGACCAGATTATAACGAGGAATAGAAACCTCAAGTTTGGCAAGCAATTAGAGGAAAATATCCACAAGATGTATAACGTCTTCCTCTAACTCGAGAAGAGAGGACGTTGTTTTTAACTTTCAATATTGGCTGATCCAAAGCTATTCATGCATATTAAGTATCCTGCGTATGTACATTACTCCACTGATCAGATTAATCCCACATGCTAGAGAGTCACATGGAATCTTCTCGAGCAATCTAAGTCATTTCCATACACCACCCATGACATGATGTGACACCCGTAGTATGTGCATATTTCATCTGCACATACTAAAGCAGGTACAGATGTCCAAAATCATTTTGGGGGACTCTAACAACAGTCTCACATCCTTGACCTCCGACGGTGCTTCTACCTGAATAGAAACCAGAAGGATACCTGCATGGGAAGAGAGAAGGTTTTAACATATCAATAGAGGAATCACATGCAAGTCCTGTCTATCAAGCTGCAACGTGACCTACCTTTCAGAAGGTCGGAATCTCCTTCTGATAGATGTGACCGCACCATGGCATTCACAGAAGCATTAGCGCAGGGAGAAGATAAACATTCCACCATGCTGAGCAAGAGCGCCTGGCAGTGTCAAATATTAATGGCTCCAATATATGAACCTTAATACAGTAGGTCATATTAAAAGGTGTACTTTTCAGCTTTCAACTAGACAGATGCTCATTTGTTGGGAGACATCATCTTGTCAAGCAAGTAAAGAATCAGGTCGTAATAGTGACTTCTTATTTTATAACAATAATGACTAGCCATAGAGTGAAGAGGCAGATACGCAAGCCGTGTCACATAAGGGGCAAAATCCACAATCCTTCGCCATCAAATCATTGTACAATACATACACATTTGGTCAAACACTATACAGTATATCCCCGAATAGCGGTCTTCCTTGTTCTTGAATGCAACCTCGCAACTTCATCGTGTTGAGACCTCCATCGATACAAGAATCTCATTCGGCTGCTGCAGAAGCTCAAGGTGGACGTTGCTTGTGTAAGTGAAGCTAGAATGGCTTCGCTCAATCTGCCGTACAGGATAAAAAAAACCCACAAAGTTCAGTAAAGTTGAAACCGCGGCTAGGCTCTTTATAGCTCTGCAATATTAACAGAATCTAGCTGGTGCTGAAAAAGTACTTTCCACCAATTCAAAATTCAAAACTTCCCATGACATCAACTTCATATATCAGGATTTCCATTTTTTTCCTTGATTAGGTGATGATAAACCATCCAATTCAAATTTTATGTCAGTGCTACTTTTGCCTCAATATGTCACTTGAACAAGCTCAGGCCCTAATGAGGGTATAATCTGTACATGAAAGTGGTTTGAAACCAGATAATTTAGGGGTGAGTATTCTCATAAATCCTACCAGTAAGAGAACAGTGATAAGATCCATTAGCTGAGGGGACGTCTTTCGAGCAATATAAGTATTGTAATACCCACCAGAAGGTAGTCTTGGTTGGAAGATTGGAAAAATCGGAGAAGATTGCAGAAATCCTCGTCATCGACTCTCAGGTGTACTTGATGCTTGACACTGGAACCTGATGTACATTCTCTAAATAGTTGCTTTCTTCCTCCGATAAATTATTGTTACAAAGACAAGAGCTAAAAGTGGCACTGGCAAGAAAAACCAGAGCTTAAGAAGCGTTTGCAGACCAGAGGAGCTGTTTTTTCCCATGGAAGAAACAGCTAACAATACCTCCTCCTGCAATAGGATGCAACATTTTGCATTTCGTGTGAATGGCACATCTAGGTGCAAGTCGATCTTCGCCATTGCAGCTATCTGAGTTCAAAACGGAAACGAGGTCAACATGTCCTGGAAAACAATCATAAGAATATCCAAGACATAAACACATACCTCTTTAGAAACTGCGCCATGTCTGAAGGAATACGTCCTGTGAAAGTAAGAAGCAAAAATACACTACATTATAACGGAGAAAAGATAAAATCATCCACTGTAGACAGCTATAAAGAGGTTAAGAGCGAGTTATGTGAGACAGTGAACTATCCACGTACCAAGGTCGTTTGTTGTGGTGGAAAGTACTAGTGTTGGTTGTGGGTTTCAAACTTCGCTGCAAAGTGGAAGTCCCAAGTTAGCAAGCTTGCAGTCTAAAGCATTTGGTCCGGAACGAAATAGGCCCATCTAGCTAAATCAAACAGGACAATATACTGTGGAAGCCAGAAGACTGCAAGAAAAGGCTCTAGTTGGGCTCTCACCTTCCAGCTGACTGATTTTTTTGGCGGTGATTCACTATAAGAGAACCAATTCCTTTTCTTCGCGTCCTTTGTTGTAGTTCGCACGAACAATTCCTCCAGAGAGGTCTGCATTCTCAATGCATGGATGTGACCAAAGATTTACATACTGAGAGATAGTCATGAGGGCTCAATGCAAGAGCGAAATCATCACGGCTTCAAACGTATATTCGATCCGGCTTACCTTAGCAATCAAAGTAAGCTTTTGCTGGGTCTCTGATTTGAGTAGACGAACAGCTGCCTGTAGTTTCCAGTGAATCACTTTTTCCTTCTCCTGGCGAGCGGCATCTTTCCTCAAGTTGTTGAGTGCAGCGTCCAGTTGACTTTTAGAGTATTTTAACTTTTCCCCGCTACTTTCAGAGAGATCGCTTTTCACCTCATGTTGCGGAGTTGTAGGAGACACATCAGAGTCCACCTTCGTAGCAAGATATCTAGTTTGTCTCTTGACAACCACATGTGGAGAGTGTTCTCCATCATTGGGTGAACTACTTTTGTTACTTCTACCCGGGGACAACAACGTGCCTTCCTCATCCGCATCGTAAACTTCCACTGACACTGGACTCAACTTCAGCTCAAGATTGGGTCTTTTGTCTCCATGTAGATCAGCAATGCAAACCTTCTGATTGCCCTCACTATTCCTCTTCCACTTTCTTACCTTACGTGGGTTTTCTGGTGGTGAAGGTTTGGAAGGGTGAGCACTAGTTTCTACTGCGTGGTTGCGAGTATGTTCTTGGGAGTTTGCATCTGAATGAGACTCCGGTTCCATGAATCTCGTTTTTGCCGGTAACGATGAATGCTGTACTCCATTTTCACCGCTTGGAATCGTCCGCTTCCAGTTGGCAGCAGTAGTTTCCCTAAAAAATGTGTGTCCATCCGGCTTGGCTTCTTCTGGAGTAATCTGAGTAGGAAAAAGTGTATCTTGAGGCGAATCTGACTTCGGAAATGAAGAGAAAGTATACATTCCACCTGTCGGTGAAGAAGTCGTGCTTCTCTCGTCAACGATTTGTGAAGAGGAGTGCAAAGCCTTCCCCTGACCTCCTGTCTTGGACAACATCGCAGAGATGGTCTTTATCTCCTGTGAAGACGACTTATCTCGTTGGTGCGTAAAAGGATTTGAACATTTTGTGTTGGAACCTGGCCTTACCAAGTAAAGGCGAGGGGATTCACCGGAGTCTCTTTCACCTTTCAGCACTACTCTCCCTTTGACGTGCGAAGACGAGGCACTGCTGGGCTTTGAGGTTTCAGATCGATCCAGCCTAGAAACGGAAGTAGTGATTAGTGCAGGCGTGATCCGAATGTTCCCAAGAATATCAGTCGGCTCAGCCAGCACTGTGACGCGGATCTGAAACATTCAACTTCAGTGCTCAGCTCAACGTACAGACTAAACCCTCTAACGAAACATGTCATCCAAATTGAGTCAGGCAGCCCAATTCCATTGTGGCACCTACTAAACTTTTCGTATCACAACTCGCAAACTATTTTTGAGTTACGATTCCACAAGGCACGCCCCGCTGAAAAGAGTTTACACCATGAAGTGATGATGTTCGCGAACGAAGTAATAACGCGAAGTGCTTTTCTGTTAGAAAAAGGAGGCGATCAAAATATAATATAATTCGTCACATAGAGCATGAGAAACTCGTCACTTACATTTAGCGTTAGTTTGTGCATCTCGTTCCGCAAGGTGCAGTCCAACAACGAGTCACCTTCCAAACTCCAGGCCTGTTCAAGTTCACGAGTCAGAGGGGCGACTAGAAATCAAGGACGCGTGTTGAGCTATGGAATTGCCGACCCTGACCCTGAACAAAGAAAACGAAGAGAGAGCGGCAAGTGGTGTAAACAAATATATATAAAAAAAAAAAAAAAAAACTTTTTGAAAGTAGAAATACCTCCTGAGACTCCATCTGCCAGTGTTCGAAAGTTAGATGGTAATGACGATTGCATCCAAGCAATCTGCCTTCAGCTATGGCAGACCTTAAGCCAAGTATCCCATTCTGCTGGTTGTTAAGAACATTGTACCAAGTTAAAACGAAATTTTGTAAGATATTTTACTAATTTCTATTTTTATTCAAATTTTTTACTTGGGAAACTGATTGTATGAAATTTATTTCGACATTTAAAAAGTCAGCCATACTCTCAAACAAATGTACGAAGCCCATATCTGTTTCTTGATATGGCAGTCAACATTATGCTAGAATGCTGAAAACAGTCTAAACCTGGTATCCTCAAAAAAATAAAAATATCCTCACTGCAGCCTGTGAGCTCCAGACTTCGAGTCCTGGCACACCTGACTTGACACAGCCCAAGGAGATTTACCCAAACTGTGTAACGAATATGTAGATAACGTCTACGTACGTACCCGATTCACGACAACGAGCTGAACTGCGGGATCGTACGGTTGCAGACCAGCCTGCATCTGTAAACTCCACACCCCGGCAATCAAGCAACGCACGCCGTACAACTGTCCTTCACCCTCGGAAGCTAGTGAGCTCAGTGCTATGACGGTGTTTGATTTCAGTTGTGAACAGATGTCAAAGGAGGAGCGTCTACTCGTTAAGCCAGGTACGTGGCTGGGACCAAATTGAGATACAAAATCATGTTTCATGCTCGCCCTCGCCAAAGGTTTCTGGGAGGAATGGATTTCTTTTTGAAACATGGCCCCTGAGCGTGAAGACGCGAGGAGCAGCTAAAATCCCGTAAGTTATTCAGGATTCATGAGGAAACGATACGCTGTTTCTAGAAAATTTCTCCTCGGCAATGCTTTGGATTATCTGACATGGACTCCAGATTGCTCGAAATGATGTAGAAGGTTTAAACCGGTGTGTTCCGTGAGGGCTGGTACTATCTACAGGCTGACCTTCCGCCGATCACCCAGAAACATCAGTTGTAAGAAGATAATACTCTAGTCTGCAACTGCAGTGCATTCGAAGGACATTCGAATGCACTGGTGCCTTCATAATCCATATCCACTTTGAAGAACGCGTACATTTGACGAAAATGTATAGACGACGGGCAGAAACGATCCATTCGCTCGTAGACAAACAAGAAAAAAAAATTCCTCAAACGAACCGAAGATATCCTCCGAAGAAGAACGCGTCACAAGCCTCGGAACAGCGCGTACCTGAGAGTGAAACAACCAGAAGAATTGTAAATGTACCCAACGAAAAAACGACAGCCAAATATGAGTTCAGGAACATTCACGGTGCGTGTGCGTCAACACTACCTTCGAAGAACGTGGACAATCTGATTTCACGACACCCAAAGCACCCGAATTTCGAATTACAAACCGGCGGGGGTCGAGGGCACCCCATCGACCACTGACCACGCGAGAGAAGTGCGTCCGACCTTCTCCCTCGAAGAGAGCATTCTTCCAGACTCTGCGGCCTGTCACCACGCGCAAGCCCAGATTACACTCACCCTTTCGGCCGGACGAGCCCAAATTCCTGCTCCCTCCGTTCCTAGAGCCCTCTTGTGCACGCGCCGGCCAGCAACCGCGCTGCTCGAATTTACAACGTCCGGCGCGGCTGGCGGGCTGCTGGCCGCGATGTGCGTCTGTTTTTGAACTCTCTGTCCCTACATGGTGCACTGCCCGACTGTAGTGTCAGTGTGCCCTGGCCTGCAGGGCAGGGCAGAGCGGGGCAGGGCAGGGCAGGGCACGGGCACATTTAAGGCACACAAGTGCGCATGGCCCTTGACTCCGTATCCACCGAGCTGGAGTGCCACCAACCACAAGAGCCCGTCTCTCGCCATCTTGTCTCCACCCTCGTGAGTGGAGCTTGCTCGTTCCACAAACCATGAATCTTCCGTCTGTCCTGGATTCGTCGCACGTTGTCAACGACGACTTTCTCCCGCGCTGCCAGCATCTTCTGACAAAGTGCCTTTCCTGCTGTCCTCTTCGGTGAAAGTGCACAACGAGATTATGCATCGTTTGGTCTTAACGTGGACTGCTACTACTCCTACTACTACTACAACTCTGCATGGCTCTTTCGTGAAATCCGAAGAATTTCCGTCAGTCATTTGCCCTGCGAGCAGAGTCCCGCCCAATGCGAGGCACGCGAACGATTGCAGTGAACATCGATCTCGCTTCTGATTGTTTTTCCCACAACTTGTGCAACTTGGACTTTCTACCCAGTCTGCAAGAAAAGCTCCACCTCCGCTATCAACTTTGTGTTGCCATCTGAAGGTTACGTTAGTTGCGGTTGGTGTCCTGCATGAAGAGAATTGGAGGAAATGCATCTAAGTTCGAGTTGGGCTTGACTTTATTGTCGGTGGCGAGAGAAGATTTGTTGTTCGACTTGTGCAAAACGTACTACCTAAACATAGTTAATCTAAAACGGAAAAAAAAACATTCGATCTTTAATTAATACATTATACGTTTGAACATAATTAAGTTACTGTCCCACAATTGCTGATGAACATATAGTAAAAACTTCCAAGATTAAACTGATAAATTTTTTATCTAATAAATATGATACGAATTGATATACATGTCAAAAAAATTGATTTAAAATATATTTATATATATAATGTAATATATTCTTAGATGAAATGTTCATATATTATTTTCTCCCTTTAGTTCACATCTATTTTTCTATGACTTGATGAAATATTTGCATTTTCTCATTTTATCTTCAAATAAAATTATTAGTTTTTCCTTTATTATTAAAAATTTTTTGAATTTTTCATTTCATTTATTTATTTTAAATTCAAAATTCATGTGTACATGTTGATGTATGTATTTTCTAACATCAATTAAAATTATAATTCTAAATCTTAACTTTGAATATCAATCTAACAGATATAGATATCAAATGTTTTGAAATGATAATACATTGATTATTCTATGATGCTATAGTAAATTTTTCAATTTTTCCCTCTCAAATGCTCTTGGAGACTTGAGCCAAACTTGAAACACAAAAAACTTCTCCATATATTTGGATAAATCTTATATTAACATAAAATTTATGATTAATTTCCGCTGATGCACTTGAGTAGAATAGTTTGCAAAGACTTATAGAAAATTCCTCAAAAAACTAATTGTTGATACACAATAAATTTTTTTAATTATGCTCATTCAAATCATAGACTATGTGAAGCTTGATGAAGTATTGTGTTCAAAATTTTGTTTCTTAGTGCATATATTATTAGAATAAATTTTTTTCATGAAATTTACTTTAATTCTTCATTTTCAAATTTAAAAATCTTGTAGTAATTTAAAAACGACAAATATTTGAAGTGATGAAATGTATGACCAAAAGATTGCATGATGATGTTTGATCATTCATATATATATATATATATATAATACAACTAAAAAATTAGCAGCAAAAATTTTTATCTTCACTTAGGAAGTCTTTTTTTCATGATTAGATTCAAAATTTTCCATTAATTTTTAAATTTTTATAAATAGAAAATTTTAAATTAAATTCTCTATCATTGTAATTTTTAATTAAGCTTCAAAGTAACAATAAATACAAAAGCACTCATAATTGTGAAAAACTTCATTAACATATTTTAAAATTGCAAAATGTACATTTTAGCTAAGGAGATTTGATTATTAAAAACTAATTATTAGCTTCACTACTAAAAAAAATTAATGACATGTGTTTGAAAAGTTGATCATGATGTAAAAGTATAAATTATACTTATCAATATTATTATCATGACTATTTTAAAAAAGTTGCTTTGAATCATACATTCAATTATGTTACATAAAATGTTACAAATTTTGATAACATATCAAAATAAAATAAAAATTGGCATTGTTATTTTTTTAAACCCCCTTTTTTCATCAATATCTTAAACCTTAAAATTATATATTGAAACATGTTTTGAATCAATTTACATCACAAAAAACTTAATTGTTATCAACTAAAGAGTTACTTAATTACAAAATAAGCTATTTTGAAGAAGAAACACTCAATTTGAACTTATTAGATATTGTGATGTAACATTTTGTGCTTGATATTGATTAATAATAATCAACAGATCAAAAATTACTTTTAACAAATTTCACTATTTCATATTTTTTGTCTCTAAATAACTTTGTGTCAAGATTAAAACCGAGATCATCAATAGCAAGTAAGTCTAGCAAACACAATAGTCAACAGCCAACACACGTGACACAATGTATAACGTGGTTCACTCTTCAGAGAATTACGTCTATGGTAAAGCACAAGCGAATGAGTTTAAAACAAAAGTAAAAAGCAACAGTGATTTAGTGAAGAAACCTTGGATATATATATATATCCAACCACGACAACCAATCTAATTGTAAATAGCTAGACTATGAGGTTACACTTTAACCAAAGTTAATCTTAACAATCTCCCCTTTAACTTGTGTAAAGGAAATAGTATCCTTCGAAAAATATATTATGACTCTGCTTGAAGTTCTAGAAAGAAACATAATACAAGACTCCTCTATACACAAGAGTTAATTAGAACTAAACTGTAGCCATCACACTATAGAGTAAATATGTAAAGAGAAAATTGAAGATATTATGATAGCAAACTCTATCTATGCTATCCATGCACATTCTACATAGTAACACATTTTAGCCTAAAATTCTCCAAACAAATAACTTTGATCAATATATTAGTTGGATTGAGTTTATTGTCTATCTTGACTAGCTTAATCATTTTATCAAATATTGTTTGTTTGATAAAGTTATATAAAATGTCAATGTGCTTCATTCTGCTATGTATAATCTAGTTCACAGCCAAATATAAAGCACTTTAGCTATCACAATGAAGATTGAGAAGTCAATCGTATATTCATGTTAAGCCTATCTAACCAAATAGCTTACTTTGTTGCTTCAGTTGTTGCCACATATTTAAATTATATTGTTGATTGAGCTACGCACTTCTCCAAGATAGTGTAATCATCTTAAGTTAGTTAGATTTAAAGTAGAGTTTACTTTAAATGTTGATATAGATACTTTAGCGTGCACTAATCATAGCTGTCACGTCAGTGATCTGCGCGCTTGGTAGTAAAAGAGTAGGTGTGTTAGTTGACAACACCACATTAGCAATCCGAGTGCTTGTTATGTAAAGATTGAATGTGTTAGTTGGGAGCGCCACGTCAGTATTCCGTTTGCTTGTTAGGGTGTTCCGTCATGTCATCCATCCACTATGAGTGGGATGGATAGTGGATATAAAATCTTATCTCTTTGTACTTGTTGGTGAGAGTTATATAAAGAATAGTATAACCATTTTTGGTATCTTTCATCTTTAGAGTTTATGTTTTCATCTTCGAGTGACTTCTCTCTAAACCCTAGTGTTACAATTGTATAAAAGCAATCTTGTTGTTTTCTTGAGTGTGAATTATATCGATATTCACATTTGTTGCATGGAGAAATATCATTTTTGGATGTATTTTGTGGCTTAGTAGGATGCAGATTTGTTGACTTGAGTGATGGAGTTGAGAATGCCACTGATTCTTCAATAGTTAGTAATGAAGAGACTTAGAATTGTACCATATACTATCTATACTGAATGTTTCATAGATTTGAATCGCGAATCACCCATCTCGATTCAGTTCAACACTTATGTAGAAATTAGAACAATATATTGACAAAAAAAATTGTGGAGAGATTTTTTGTGAGAAATTATAGAAAAGAATACTATAGAGCTGTGTAATAATCTCCTATACCTTTTGTGGCTATTTTTTTAAAATATTAGATAGTGATTATACTCACTTTGTATTAGAGTGAGTATGAAAAAGCATGGAGATATCAATCAATATGAGTGAGGTTTTCAACGCAATCATCACAAAGATGAAGGAGTTGAGGAAAGCGATAGCAGATGGACATAACAAACAACAAGTTATGGAAGATAAAATCTTCGCATTGGAGAGTGAGAAAGTCGAGAGATAAAGAGTTGGAGAGATGGAAGTTGAACATCAAGTTTAAGCTTCCCAAGTTCAGCCGGAACCAGCTTTTATTGATGCCGTAGAGTCAAATATGATACATCTTCAAGAGATTGAAGATCAAGCAAATCTTTTGATTCGAATGAAATTATCATTTAAGGTGAAAGTGTACAAAGGGAATAGAGCAATGGGAGTGTCAGATATATATATAATGACGATGAATATTCATTTATCTCACTTTCATGTTTCTGATTACATTGCATGAATGTTCATGAAATTTTATATTACGGATAAGACTCTCACAAGGCTCTCACATGGTATATAACATGGGATATGATGCTTTCAAAATGAGGTGTTACCATTTCGTAATGTGAACTGCAAGGACTTTTGCAAAATTTTTGAACGGTAAACTCTTTTCAAACGGCAAGAAGGAAGTTGTGAGATTTCAAGCAAAAAAGAGTTATACATGAGTACATTGAAGAATTTCGTGATCTTCAACTATCTATCATGAATATGAGTGGAGCATAAGCATTGGACGTGTTCAAACGAGGCTTGAAGGATCAAATTTGAAAGAAGTTGATGATAAGCAATCCATCTACAATGAATGAAGCAATCGTAATTGCTCAACAAATTTTGGATGCTTTTGCTGTCACACATGGTGAACCAGTAAGCAATTTTTGATGCCAAGTTTTGTCGAATTTGACCTACAACTCAAGAGTAACAGTCCATACAACGACGTCCGTTCAACAACATGAAGGGGATAGAGTATGAAGAGGTGGAAAAAGAAGTTTTGGAAACAAATATCATAATTAAACTTGTCTCGCGGCCTTACTAGTTCTACAAAGCGAAGAAAA